ACAAGCGAGTCGTGCGCACCGCCTGCGCCCGTCTGCTTGTCCGCGTGAGCCGACCGCACCCGTCCGCGACACCCGACCACCAGACGCCGCACTTGACCCTCAGCGAGCCCGACCGAGTCCAGCCGCGCCTTGACCGAGCCCAGCCCAGTCTGATCGGCCCGATCCCGACGAGCCCAAGTTCCCGGTGATCCGTTTGTGACCCGACAACCCGATTCAACCGAGAAGACTAGTCCGGCTGCCCAACGGACTCTGCGATTCAGACTATCTCCTACAGAGAAAATCAAAAACTTCTCAGAGTCGGTAAAAATTTTAAACGGTAATGTCTTAACCCTAACCATAAATTTCGCTGCGTTAGGGTTTATTTCAACTGATTCGAACATGGATGTTGTTGACGTTCCTAACATAACACACGCGAATGGTGGCTCAGCTCGTGATAGCGGCGGAGCAGGTTGTTGATGGTGGCTCAGCTCGTGACGACGACGGGTTGTGGTGGCGATGTCAACGTGACAAACCAAGCTTGTAGCGACAACAGGACTTGCCGGCGATGAGGCATGTGGCTAATGACGACGAAGCAGGTGGCCGCGTGTGTGTGTGTGTGTACGTGGAGAAGTGTGTGGGTTGTGTGTGTTTTTGTGTGTGTGAGAGAAAAAATGTATGGTAGGTAGGGTTAAGTGGATTAATGACTAATTACCCTTATTTAGTGGTAAATGGTATATATTTGACCATCATATATCTACTTATTTAATGATTGACCATTATTTATTAAGTTTGACTTAATCATAGTCATTGATATGATATGATGTATCTAATGGACCACATTTATTCTCATTTATTTCATTGTGCTCCTTTATCATTTGAGTACACTTCTATATATAGATTTTATATTAAATTGTACGGCAAATTTTGATTTTTATTTAAATATACTAATAAATTAAGAAAGAAACACATGATTCAACCGTGGGCAAATAATAAAAATAAATGAATTCTCTCGATTGAGAGCCAAAATTCCCTCGGGTGAGTGAAAAATTCTCTCGATTGAGTGCTGATTTCTCTCGGGTGGGAGTGGGATTTGCTGTGATTGTGGGTTTGAGTGTTCTGTGATTTTCTTTCTATCCTGTTATCCATCATTTTTAGGGTTTTTTTCTCTTTCTATTTTGGGGTTGTCAGATTTCTTGCGCATATGGCGGACAAATCTCCAGGAGCTCCTTCGATGGGAAAGGTAGATGAGGGAGTGATACGAAAGCTCCTCCACATGTCCCTATCCTCTACTAAAAAGGGAGAAGTGGAAATCAAAACGAATGATATAAAATCGAGTGAGGAGGAGTGTGGGCGTAGTCTATTTGGGAAAATTGTAGGAGATAGGCACGCAGGACTCGTGGGCATTGAGAGGACAATGGGGGCCATCTGGAGAATGCAAAACTCCATGGAAGTGAAGGAATTGAGTGAAAATTTTTTCCAGTTTATCTTCCTTTCGCAAGAGGATATGAGGAAAGTTGGGTCAGGGAACAACTGGATGTACGAGAACCAATACCTTATTTTGAAAGAATGGTTCCCAGGGCTACACAGTGGACATGGCTGCTTTGAGGAGATTACCTTATGGGTGCAAATTCTAATTGTGCCTTTAAACTGGCTGAGCACGGACGTGGGACTCAAAGTTGGCCAGATCTTCAACAGAGTTAAAAACTCGATCGTCTGTAAAGTTGGGGGAGATGTGGGGAGCTTCATCAAAATTCTGGTGGAAATTAATATCAACAAACCTATACCACGGTGCACAACTGTCAAGCTGGGAGATGAAAAAGTTATGGCGGTATTCAAGTATGAGAAACTTGTGAATTTGTGTTACTACTGTGGCATGATTGGTCACCTGGAACGAAACTGTAAATGATGATCCAGTCCTTCACAAATCAATGTCATCCAAGATTCAAGGGTCTCAGCTAACTCTGCTCCAATAATGGTGAATGATGATAACAGAAGTCATAAGGAGCATTCTGAAGAAAGAAACCAATCAAACGACCTCCACTCTGATTTGAAGATGAATGTTGAGGGGGAAGAGAAGGAAAGTGTGTCTCATAGTAATAATGAAAACCAGGGCAATGGGGAGAAGCTAATGGAGAACTTAAATGATGAGATTATGGAGGATGAAGTTTCTAAACATCATGATGATTTGTTGGAGAAGAAATCAGAGGGGGAAGGGGGGGTCTGAGAGCTCATTTAATTTGAGGCAGAGATCTTCTTCTAGGTGGAAGAGGAAAATTCTTGTGCATAGCAACTTCTTATCACCAACTAGGCATGCTGGAAAAACCAACCCATCTAGTAACATAAAGAGGAGCAGAGACATGGTCCTAGATGAGTGGCACATAGAAAAAGGAGGCAGAGGAACCTACTGAGAAGAAACAAAAGAATACCAATGAGTTGTCTTTGGTGGAGAAGGCCAGCCACAAACGGCCCCAAGGTGATCAATTAAGGCTATGGTGTGGAATTGTAGAGGACTGGGTGGGCCCTCTACAGTTTCCCAAATCAAGGATTTCAGAAGAATCCACCACCCTAATATTATATTTTTATCTGAGACTAAGAAATCTAGAGATTTTACTACTACTGTGTGCAGGAAGCTTGGATTTGGTGATAGATGGTATCTGGTTGATCCAGCTGGGTATAGAGGGGGTTTATTGGTGATGTGGGATACCAGTGTGGAGGTGAATCAAGTCCTGGGAAATGATTTTTGCCTTCAAGTTGAAATCAAGGGAGTTGGAATTGAGGAATGGGCCTGGATGGTGTTTGTATATTCGAGCACTGATAGAGGTGAGAGGGGTAGACAGTGGGAATTTCTTGAGGAGAGGAGAATATTCTGGGGTGATGGGTGGATCATTGCTGGGGATTGAAATGATTTGGTGAGTAATGAAGCGAAACGAGGAGGGGTAACTAGGAGTGCCAACAGCTTTGTGGGTTTTCAGGATTTTATCTCTAATATGGAAATGCAAGAAGTAGATCAGGTGGGCTCCTTTTTTACTTGGGGTAATAATAGGGCTGGGGATGGGTATGTGGAGGAGAGGCTCGACGAGATTTTTTCTTCTGGAGAATGGCTGAACATGTACCCCAGAATGCAGGCTTCGAATTATTTAAGATCAGCTTCTGATCATAATGTCCTGTTTTTTTACACAAATTCTGAGGTGATTAAGAGACACAATCGGTTTCAATTCAATAGCAGTTGGGTGGGGATGGAAGGGGTTCAAGAGGCAGTCAGGGAAGGGTGGCACATTATGGTGGAGGGATCAGCCATGTTTCAAGTGCATCAGAAAATCAAGCACACTAGAATGGCTCTTCTAGCCTGGCACAAACCAAAACACAGAAATAGTGAAAGAGTGATAAAAGTTCTTTATGAGAAGATGGCTGACATGAGAAATGAAGGGAAGGACAGGAACTGAGAGGAGTGGGGAGAAATGAAGAGAGAGCTTGACAAAGCTTACCAGGAAGAAGAAAGCTTCTGGAGGTGCAAATCTAGAGCAATGTGGCTGTTAGCTGGGGACTATAACTCAAAGTATTTTCATACTGCTGTAACCCAGAGGAGGCATGCAAATTCCATCAATAAACTTTCTGGCAGATTGGGGGAGGTGCTCACTGATCAAGATGATATCCAAAACCACATATCATGTTTCTATTCTGATTTATTTGCAACTGAAGGATCTAAAGGGGGTGATGAGCTGCTGCAAAATATACCAGTGACTATATCTGATGCTGACAACTCAGAACTCACAAAGCCTTTCAGCGAAGATGAGATCAAACCAATTATTTTCAACATGGCTCCAGAAAAATCCCCAGGAGATGATGGTATGACTGCTCTTTTTTTCCAAAAATTATAGCACATAGTCAAAGATGATGTTTGTAAAGCTGTGTGTAGTTTCTTCTCTACTGGTCTCCTTTTGAAAATCTGGAAACACACTGTCATAACATTAATCCCTAAGTGTTTGTATCCGGAGTCTTTGAGCAACTATAGGCCTATTAGTCTATGTGGGGTGCTGTACAAGGTGGTTGCTAAACTTCTTGCTGATAGAATTAAACCTTGTCTGGATGCTTGTATTAATCATGCTCAAACTGCTTTTGTGCCTGGAAGAATGCTGCTTGATAATGTGGTAATTGCTCATGAGATATTTCATTACCTCCACAGACATAGATCAAGGTCTCAGGTGTTTATGGCCATTAAATTGGATATAGAGAAGGCATATGACAGGGTGGAATGGGATAGTATTAGAATGGTGATGGGGAGGATGGGCTTTTACAACATGTTTATAAATTGGGTGATGAATTGCATTGCTGCCCCAACATTCTCATTTAATCTGAATGGTAGAGTTTGTGGCTATGTTAAATCTTCCAGGGGGATTAGACAGGGGGACCCCTTGTCCCCCTATTTGTTCATCTTGGTGTCTGAATTATTTTCAGCTTGCTTGAGTCACAAGGTCTCCTCAGGTGTTTTCAGGGGCATTAAAATCTGCAGAGAGGGTCCTATGATCTCCCATTTATTGTTTGTTGATGATGCTTTAGTGTACTGCAAGGCTGATGAAGCTCATGCAAGGATGTTGCTAGAGATTTTATCAAAGTATCAAATGTTTGCTAGCCAGAAAGTAAACCTACACAAATTATCTATCTTCCTGAGTAAGAATGGAACTACAGATTTGAGCAATATGTTGTTTACTATTCTTGATGGGGTGAAAATTATGAGATCTTCCAGGTACATTGGCCTCCCCCTTGGTATTGGTGCTTCTAAGGTTGACACTTTCCAGTTTGTTGTTGATGTTGTAAGATCTAGAATCTGTAGCTGGAAGAACCATTTTCTATCAACTGCAGGAAAAGAGTTCTTGTGAAAAGTGTTCTGGCAGCTCTCCCTGTGTTTGTCATGTCCTGTTTTGTCCTGCATGCTACTGTGTGCAAAGAGGTGTGTAGATTGATGGCCATTTTTCGGTGGAAAAAAAGAGGCAGTAGTGAGAAGGGTATGCACTGGCTTGCCTGGGAAAAATTGTCTCTTCCTAAAGTGGATGGTGGCCTTGGTTTTAAAGACTTAAAGTTGTTTAATAAAGCTTTGATTTTAAAACAGTTATGGAGAATCATTGACCAGCCTGATATTCTTATGAGTAAACTGCTCAGGTATAAATACTTTAAAAATTGTTCAATATTTGAGTGGCAGAATACTGGAGGGGCTTTCTGGTTGTGGTCTTCTTGGGCTTCTTTCCTCCCTGACCTCCAAAAATTTGTGAAGATCATCATCAGAAATGGAGAGAACACCTTTCTCAGTGAGGCTAATTGGGTGCCTGGCCTTCACAGTCCCAAACCTGAACTTAGAGTGGAAATTGATGGGAACAGATTCAAGGTAAGAGATTTGCTCATGGCAGGTGGTGTACATTGGGACAGTGCTCTGATAAAAGCATTGTTCACCCAGGAGGCTGCTGAGAAAATCCTTCTAATTAAGTCTTTAAAGGCTAATGTAGCTGATAAAAAACAATGTGAATTTGTGGTGACGGGAAGATTCTCTGTGAACAAAGCCTATAGGAAACTTATGCGTGACAGGATAGAAGGGAAATCTGTGGCACAAGAAAGTGCTTTAGCTGGAGGGAATAAGATGGCTCGTAGAAGAATATGGAATTTGAAAGTAATGGGGAAAATCAAGCACTTCATATGGAAAGTTGTATCTAATATTCTTCCTGTGAGCTCTAATCTGTTGAAGAGGGGAGTGCTAGTGGATGGCATTTGTGGAGTCTGTGGAGAGGAGCTTGAGACCCAGGAGCATGTCCTTTTTTCTTGCAGGAAAGCTGAAATGGTGTGGCAGCTTGCCCTTGTAAATTGGAACAGAGTCCAGTCAGAGCAACTAACCCTCAAACAATGGTGGTGGTGGATTAGTACTATGAAGTATGATTATTTTTCTGAAGGGAGAATCCAGCTCTCCACGTACATCTTGTGGTGGCTCTAGCGGGCTAGAAATTTATGGGTGTTTGAGAAACAGTGGCAACCGGAGGAATGGATCATTAAGGCTGCAGTGAGGGACTGGCTTGACTTTCAAGTCAGCAACAATAAGGAGTAGCAGGTCTGCAGCTATGTTTTGTCTAGGTCTTGTGTCAGTGGGCTAGGTATTTGCTGTATTTCTGTGAGATAATGTTTGTTATTGCTGATTTGGTTGGGTTGTAGCTGCGGTATTCCACTTTGGTTTTCTCACTTATGTCTGGTATGGGGCTGTTCCTCTAGATATTTGATTGTTCTTGTATTTTCTGCTGTTGGTTTAGGCAAGCTTGTAGCTTGTAGCTTGTTCTCCCATGTTACCTAGGCTTGGGAGTTTTTTCTTTCCCGTGTAAGACATTACCCTTTTTGGATCATTTATGGAGGTTGTGATATCGTTGGAAAAAAAAAAACCGTGTATAACTATTATAAAAAAATATCCTGAGATAAAAATGAATTAGTTAATTTTGTCGACAAATTTAAAATTACAGTCCAAGGATGATTGGATATAAAAAATTTTGGTTTTGTTTGGATTTTTTTGTTTGGCTTGGTTAGTTTTGAAAAAGTTGGTATGATTAATTGTTAGTGGATATATTAAAATAATATTTAAAATAAAATGATTAAAGTTGATTTGATGTAAAGTAGGAAAGAGAAGATTTGAAGTGATGGTTAGTTAAAATTATGTGTGTAGATGAATAGTGAATTAAGGTAATGTTGTGTGTAAGAAAGATTGATTAATATTACTTAATTATATTGATAATATTGATGATAGTGGGGTTGAGTTAAAGTTGAGTTAAAAAAATAATTGAATTAAAAATGTTTGAATTTTTTTAAGAAATTTTTGTATCCTTGCTCAAAATCTTTTTGTTTATATATTCCCCTAAGACCATGAACACAAGAAAATTTGTCGGGTGAGGAGTAACCAAAAACTTTTTCAGCTGGAGTTCAATTCATTCATCCATCGCTAAAGAACAGCACATAGGCAACAATGGCGTCGACGGAGGGTTTGGTGCCCATAACAAGGACCTTCCTGGCTTCTTACTACGACAAATATCCCTTTTCTCCTCTTTCCGATGACGTTTCCCGTCTCTCCGATCAGATGTACGCCATGGCTGCCGATCTTCTTAAAGCCTCTCCTCCTACTCAAGGTTTCTTTCCTTTTTCTTTTTCATTTTTAATCTTTATCCTTAAATTCACATATATGTTTAGTCGTGTTGTCATTTTGGATCCCATTTCTTCCTTTGAGATTTGCTATTTTGACTTCCTTTCACCCGTGGTGAGTTTCAGTTTGTTGGACACTGTGTTAAATCCACTGCTAAAGTTTGATTTATATACGAATATTTTTGTGATTTGGGGTTGCAAGGAAACTGGAATTTTCCAAATTAGTTTTCACCTGAGGAATGTTTTATCAGGTGAAAGGTTATTGGTACAAGAAGCTGAGGCCAAACCTCCTCATAAAGTTGATGAAAATATGTGGAAGAACCGAGAACAGATTGAAGAGATCCTTTTCTTGTTGGAAGTCCGTCATTGGCCCGGAGCGGTAAAGATTGAATGAAATTCATATCCTGGCAGAACACTTTAGTTGTCCATTTCCATTTTGGAGAACTAAGGCCTGTTCAATGATAGGCTGCATCACGTAAAATAAACTAATTTCTCATGTTCAAACTAGTTGTGCATGAGAAACTATGGGTTTGATTGGATATAACTTATTTTGGATTTTATTGAAGTTATTTAATAAAGTGAGGTTATTTTGAAAAAAAGTTGATTGCGTCTAGTTTGAGTGGGATTTTGAGGTTGTATTTAAATAGTATTTAAAATTTAATGATTAAAGTTGATATGGTGTAAAAGTAAGAGAGAGATGATTGGAAGTGATGAGTAGTTAAAATTATGAGTAGATGATTAGTGAATAAAGCTGATGTGATATGTGACGATGATTGATTATATTATTTAGTTATATTAATAATATTGAGGAAAGTTGGGTTGGGTTGGGTTAAGTTTGAGTTGAATTTTGAGTTAAAAAAATTATCAGTATCCAATCATGCTCTATATGATGTAGACTGCATTGCATGAAAGAAAAGAAACGAAGAAAATAAGAGTCTCTTGTTGTATCTAATTCTACATTTAACAGCTTCAACAACTAAGTGCTGAAGATGCAGAAATTGCTTCTGTTCTTGGGCGGATTCAAGAGAAGTTCAAGTCTACATTGAAGACTTTGGAGGATTTCCAAACCAGAAATTCTGAGTTTGTGTTCAATACAGGTTAACATTCGCTGGAGCTTTACATGTTCCCTTGATGTCCTTGTAGTAGCTTTATTGGACTGGTATATGTTAGCAGTTAAATGATAAATATGATGGAAGATGTGATTGCTCTATCAATAATAGTTTTCTGGAGGACCTGTCCTACTCAATAAAGAAAATTGACTCTAATTTTTTCCTTTTGAACTATTTGAAGAGTTATCTGATGTGTCCTGGGAGGATATGTTTGAGCATTGTTTTCTATAAATTTTGTCCTACTCTCCCTTTCTCTCTCCCAAGAAATTATTATTGCGGTCAATGCTGTTTAGGAAGCCTTCGAAATGCTATTTTAGGCATTTGGTATGATAATCCTTGGAAACTGAAAATCTTTGACTAACACTGTTGATTCTGATGAATAAAGTTATTTCCGTGTTTCTTCCGTGAGTATTTTTTTTTTTCTTCCTTTCATCAGAATAATGTTGTTTCTTCCCTGAGTTACATTTCATAATTTCCCTGTAAAAATGTGAATAATACGGAAGCTACAATTTTGTACCTTGAGTGGATCTCGAAGTTCTAGCTAGTGGAAGTTGCAATTACTACTTTTGCCATAGTAGTTTGTCAACCAGTACTTGTGTTAATGATGGAACATAACTGCTTTCTGCATATTTTCCATATCATCTTCTTTCATTTTCTTTACGGAAGAGATTGAAAATTAAGAAGCATTAGATTGTCGTGTCAAGATATGGTTAGATTGTTTCCTGGTATACGCCATTATTTTACTTATGAGTTTGTAATAAGCAATATGATTATTTTAATTACTGGATTCAATCTTATAATAAAGGGATAGTGTCTGTACATTTATCGATATGAAGACCCAAAGGCTGAGAATCTTGTCTCAAGCAATTTCAGACATCTCTTCTTTACTTCAATATGTCTGCTTCTCAATTTCAAGATCCTGGTTACAATATCTGACATATGTTGTAGATGAGCTGTAAATAAATTTCTCGTCTACCATTGCAGTTATGACGTATATGCCACAAGATTTCCGGGGTTCAATAATTAGGCAACAGAGAGAGCGTTCTGAGAGGAACAAACAGGCTGCAATTGATGCTTTAGTTAACTCTGGTGGAAGCATACATGACAAATATGTTCTGCTATGGAACCAACAGATGGAAAGGTAGGATTCACTTGTGTCTGTTAATTCTCACAAACGGCAAAATGATAGAGTGAAGGGCAATATTAACAATAGATAATGAACGTACTACCCCGAAGGGTCCTCAGGCAAGATAGCCTGCCACAAATGTCAATATTCCAGAATACTCATCTAACT